GAAGCCTTCAAGAAGCGATTACACCAATTCCTTGCTCAACACTCCAAGAGAAAGACTTAGAGATTTTTCGGCGGTTCAAAAGCAGCCATTCAGTTTATGAAATGAAGCCCAGTCGCCGACACATTTTAGAGGCAGCTCATAGAAGCAAAACGAAACATGAAGACTAAAAAGAGACCGCAAGTAAGGAGAAGAGAAAGCAAGATACATAGAAGGACGGAGGAGAAAACGGAGCAGCAGTGTCCACGCAAAGACGAGGAGTAAATCAGAGAGATTTGCTCCTCGGAGTTTTCTACACACTTCCTACAAAAACCGCATCGCCTAGACCAGAAGCAGCGCTCAAGTTTTTACGACCGCATTTTTTGACTTTCGTACTTTTAGACTCGTCTTGCCTGTGGCTTCAGACAGGCGAATTCTGTACCTAGGCTCTGCTTTAATATTTAGTGAAAAAAGAGATAAAGGAGCCCTACCCTTGAAAATGGTTCTTTTAAGGCCATTGCGAATGCTTCTTCCTGGATTGCGATCGACTTCACTGTGACCAGTCAGTGCATAAGGGGGTCCGGTCTGCAAATCTAGTTAGCTCTGAACTTATGCTCCAGTCGATTCTCATACAGTAGGATGCTCTCTTTTGATTGAACATCTTCCCGGCCATGCAAGTAAAGTGAGCTCAAAGAAAAGTCATCATTGAGTTAATGGGCGCTTCTTAACTTGCGTTTTGACTCCTGCGCAGATTCAAGTGTAGTTGCAGAAGAGATGTAAAAGGACTTTCTTACTTATACTCACGAAGTACGTGACATGATTCAAATGCGGGCTCTCATATTCTTTGAGTACGAGAGGGCATTCTGATTGGGGAGTACAACTTTACTTGCATTATCCCAGACAGTATACATAACGTGTGTTAAAATCTTTAAAATGGGTAAGAACGTAGCCTGTGTCTCAAAATTGGTAGATGTAAACGAACTTTGGTAGGATGTGAGAATAATCATCTTCCCTTACTACAGGTGGCTTTGCGTCAAATTCCAGCGGGGGTTATGGCTAACGTTGGGGTTAGGGTTTAAGTTATGACGTGGGCGCTTGTTCCCGTGTCAGGGGCAGAACAGGGGAATAGGAACCCCCGTAGTAGAGGTGGCCTTAACCCTACTCTCTCTGTGATCTGGCGTAAAGCTACCTGTACTGCAGGGGGATCCTAATTCCGTTTCCTGCCCTTCCTTAACTCTAATCCTAATCTCGGTGGGATTAAGTAAAAGGCCCTAACAAATCTGCCTAAAAAGACGTCTGTATTTACGCAGGCATTGAAAATTGCGTACAACAGTGCGTGTATAATAATGCACTTCCCAAGCCCAGGTTAGACAGATTCTAAATTAGAATTCAGACTAATGCTCCATATGAATGAACTTGGGATTACACACCGTGGTAGTCAGCCCTGCAGCTTTATTCAAGCAATACTTTCTGTTTAAGAGCCTATCGCGGGACTCCAGTCAGAGTTTAACGTGTGCATTTGGTCAAAGTTGCCCCTCCCCCACCCTGACCAAATCGTCTTTAACCAGTCGTTGTAGAGTCCATGCAAGCATTGTCCGATCGTAGCCTACAACCGCGGGAAAAGCCATCCAATAGGTCTCGCTGAGAAATGACCTCGTCTAGACTTTGGAAGTTCAGACACGTAGACTCATGGCTTCCGTGCTCGGCCAGCCTCTTTCTCTATCCCCTCCAATAACTGGGACTTGAGTATTCACCTCAACTCGAGGTGGTGCTATTTTTTGCTAATTGTGAATTCTTTTGTTGTTTTCTCACAGAGGATGATGAGATGGGAATGGATGAAGGGGCGGCGCCGAGCCGGACTGCACTGAAGAAACAGTCGCAGCAAATAGTTGATTTGAGGACGAAGAAGAAGCAGGGCGGAAAGAAGGGGAAGAAGGGCAAATAGGAGACGTCGCCCCGAGGTGGGGAGTAATGTCGTGTATCATACTCCCCTCCCCTCTCCCCCCGCTCAAAAAAACACCTCCTCCCCTCAGCGTGCCTGAGTGGGTTCGTGCACTTCGCCGACCGTTCCATGAAACTGCACTACTGCAATCATCGCTCTGTGCTTCGTGTCACGGCTTCGCTTAGCTACAGCCGCGTAGTCCTCATCTGTCCCACCCCCACTTTTAACTATTTACTCATCAGGGTAACTCTGTACATGCCCTAACATACTGCTGTGCTAGCTCGTATTGGCCGCCTAGTGGCCTTCGTACAGTTTGTGATACTGTATGACTGAAAAAAATCGCGACTTAATCTTCTCTTTTCATGGTCGTCGCACGTGGTCTTCCAGAAAGTGTATAACGCGAACATGATTGACGGTGAAGCTGATGCTGTTTAGTGCAAACGCGTCCCCGTAGAGCGGTAAAGGTTAGTGCTTACCACTAATAAGGTCTGGGCTCCCACATGGGAGACTGATTCTCGGCTAGTCAGAGGATTCCCGCTTGTAACGCGAGTCTGGCGAATCTGAATCGAATGTATGCAAGTTGGCACTGGAGCGAAAGTTATTGGCATACGTTTTAGGTTCCTCCGATGTTTTCAACTGCATACAGCATGGGTAAATAATATTTTCTTATAGAGAGGAGAAATCAGACAGTTATTCCCAGCTGTCCTTTGAAGTCCAGTTTAACGTAATTTTCGTGCCACTGAACTTTTTGGGTTTGATTTGGCTACAGCGGAATCCCAGTTAATAGACGCACGCTCTTAAGTTGACCTTTTGAAAGACGAAAACTGGCTCAGAAGCTCCCTCGCTCGGTGAGGCTAGTAACACCTGAAAGTTTTAACGCTGACCCAATGAATGTTTACCTAGTTGGATCTCGGGTCAACCTGTTGGATAGGTCCCTTAAATTAACAGTGCGTAACGATCGAGCGAACAAATGTCAAGACTATAAACGACTGAGAAAGAAGATAATATCTTATTTTTATGGGAGTGGGCTTCTCGAAACGAACAAGCTCCAGGTGGGTAGCAAAGGTCGCGAATCTATTGTCGAAAGTGGTGTAATGGACAAGACTGAGATTCCCAACTCAGAAGTCAGGGAAGAAGGATGGCGGCACAAAGGGACGGTGGAAAGTAGTGGAGACGTCGCATAGAATGGTGCCGTTGCCAGTAGTCATTGGCAGGTCCTGAAGTTAGAATCCGGAAACGTCCTTGTCAAAAGGAGAACCAACACGGCGTTGTTCGGCAGCTATCTCAGCTAGGTTGATCCCCGGAGAAAGTTGGAGATGTGCAATAGAGGGCCTGGACAGTGCTTCAGCCACCTCACTGCGTGCACGCCAATGTGGTGGATGTCTGAGGTAAACTGCGAGATTTAGTCCAGTTGGCGGATTTCGCGGGGACTGAGCTTATCAGACGCGGGCTTGAGAGCGAAGAAAAGGGGCTTGTGGTCCATGAACAGAGCAAGGACTTCCCGTCCAAATGTGCTCTAGCGTGTCTTGGTAGGTGATAACTTCTTGGAAAAGAAAGCTAGGGGTTGGGTGTGGCCTTCAGGGTGCTGTTGGAGAACTGCGCCTACTGCAACATTGGGGTGTCAGCCGTGAGGGAGATGGGAGCATCGGGAGAAAAATGAGTCTGGATAGTGGCGTCGGCCATGGCAGCCCTCACCTTGTCGAAAGCAGCGAGGGCGTATGCAGACAGTTCTTACGAATGTTTGGGATCATGGAGGAGGCTCGTGTGAGGCAGGAGGGTGTCGGCACAGTGCGGAAGGAACCGGCGGTAGAAATTCACCATATCCAGAAATCGCTGCAGCTGACGATTGGAAGACGGAGGTGGGAAATCACGGATGGCCGCAACCTTCGAGGGAAGAGGATGGATGCCGTGGGAGTCGACCAGATGACTGCTAAATTCCAGGGAGGGCACACCGAAGACGCACTTGGACGGGTTGAGAACAATGCCAAATTGTTGAAGGCGGTCAAACACCGTTGCCAGATGCTCCCTGTGTTCTTCGGCGGTGGAGCTGGCTACCAGAAGGTCGTCGATATAGGCGTAGACAAATGATAGGCCGCGAAGCACTCTGTCTACAAACCTCTGAAAGGTCTGGGAGGCGTTATGGAGTCCCAACCGCATGCGCAGTAACTCAAAGAGGCCAAAGGGGTGGTGACGACCGTCTTCGAAACGTCCTCTGGGGCTATGGGAATTTGATGGAAGGCACGGATCAGATCAGTCTTCGAGAACACGGATTTGCCGACCAGGGCACAGGCAAGCATCTGAAGATGTGGGACAGGGTAGCGGTCAGGGACAGTAACGTTGTTCAGGACCCGGTAATCACCGCAGGGGTGCCAGTCACCAGTGGCGGCCTTTGGGACCACGTGGAGTGGTGAGGTCCATGAGATTTCGGATTGACGAATGATGCCCGTCTGAAGCACATGCTCGAATTCGGCCCTGGCGACAACAAGACGTGCAGGCGCGAGACTGTGGGGCCGAGAAAACACAGGAGGGCCAGTGGTCCGGATGTTATGAACAACGTCGTGTCGTAGAATAGATGCACTGAGGTTGCCGAAATGGACTCTCGTGTTCAGGGTCCAAAGCGGCGAGTTGAGGGGAAGTGTCGGAGGAAGAGATACCCCGAATGGTGAGGTTGGTGGTCTTTTCATGTAAACGGGACTGACGGCAGTCGACCAGAAGATCGAAAGCGGCGAGGAAGTCTGCACCGAGAATAGCACACCAACGACGAAGACCCAAGGGAAAAGACGCCGGAGACCGATGTGTTGACAGCCTGTAAGAAAAGGTCGAGCTTGGGGCTCCGACGACCAGCGGGTGTGGGTGGAATGACACTTAGCTGGGCACCAATGTCAACCAAGAAACGTCTGCCACTCCGGTTGTCGTGGACGTAAAATGTGCGACCAGGGTTAAAGCTGTCGGGAAGATTGGCTGCACTGACCTTCGGGTTGACTCGTTTGCTTTGTATGGAGGTGGAGCAGGGATAGATGCAGCGGCGAGCTTTAGCACCGAAGGTGATGTGGTTCCAGCAGGTGACGGCTGTGTTGGAACGGGCCGGATGTACAAAATGGACATGCGGGGTGGGCAACTTCGATTGGCTCTGAGATGAGGGAGAAAGTGTCTGCCTCTGGAGGGAAGCTATACCACCGTCCAGCTTGGTGAGCCCGATTTCCAACTTCGAAAGGGCAGACGCAGGAGGAGTTGAGAGTGCTGAAAGTGACGGCTTGGAAAAACCGTGCATTTCCATAAGCCGATCGGCCATCTGAGTAAGTTTCGTAGCCGAAAGAATGTCGAAGGCAGGTGCTAAAATATGCTGAACTTCCAGTGGAAAATTGTCCATGATGAACGCCTGACTTTATCGTAAATTAGGAAGAAGGGTGATCGCTGTTCGCAAGGGGTCACCAATTGTCGAAAGTGATGTGGTTGACAGGACTGAGGTTCCAAAATCAGAAGTCAGGGAAGACGGTTTGAGTTGGACAATATAGTCACTTGCCCGTCCGAACTCGACCAAGTTATAATAACAGAGGGGTGTTGACACAGATGGGGACAGCTTTACACGGTATTGTTTCTGGTCTGCCCTGCCGTAATTCAGTTAATCATAACCCCGATTATCATCCGGGAGGAGAAACACAAACAAACGTGCTTACACCGCGCGGTTGGCCCACGGACGGGGTCTGTCAAATGGGTCGCAAGCACTTCTTCGAGTGTGTGGTGTTCGGCATGGGCCAGATTAACCGAAGAATTTAAATGAGTGTCTTCTGTGAGACTATGACTCTGTAATTGGCCAACTGAGTCTTATGCTTAGTGAACAAGTTGGCTGGCCGTAAAGCCACAGCCCAAGATGGGGCGTTTGTACAAGTCCTTGAGATGCCCTGTCCTAGGCTAAGCCTCACGTATATCTACCGACATCCCACCCCGTCGCGTTACAACGACCAGACACAAATTCACTCACCTCTCATCCCCTGTCCTATGACGTTATGACAGGATCATAATTCTCCCTACCGTGTTTTACCTGTCCTGTAATACTAAATGTGAATCGTCTAGGAGTTGTCCGATGGTGGTGATTACCCTTCGCTTCATTCTGCTTCTACTCGGGTTCGTATTAAAATCGGTGCCTTGACCTTTCCTTCGAAAACGCTGACGCTCCTCAGCTACTCGTCTATCAATTCCGTTACCCACTATCAACACAGTATTCCCCTGCTTTACCCTGTAGTTGCAGCCAGCGCCACATATCCCATCCCTTATGTTCTTGCTGTTATTTTATTGCTACTTAGCTCACTCATTGCCAGCAGAGATTATTATAAATGTGATCTTTCTTCAATCATCTTTGTATGAGTGTGTTTGGTGGCATCTTTAGCGATCGCATTCGGCAAGCCCTCAAGATCGTTTCCCGTTACGGTCTAGTCACCCCTTAATCCCCTCCCCATCAGCATACCATTGGTTAATTTCACCTCTCGCTGTCCTTCTGAGACGAAATATGTGTCCTGACAGTGAATAATCGAAAACTTGTGTTTGTTGACGGTAACTTCTTCAACGCAGAACCTACGAACGCTACTCAAAACTACACAGTTGCCGTCGAAACTGCGGTCGGACGCGGGTGGCTTCGTGCTAAATTCCAGAGAGGTTCCTATTAAGGTGTTCTAAATCTAAACCGAATCCTCCTAGCTTTAACCCCAATACTAACTGTAATATCAACCCTTAAACGGAATCCTAACCATGACTCTAATCCTAACCCTCCTAATACTGACTCCAATTATAAAGTTAACCCAAATCCTGGTCCCAAACCCCTGGAATTTAGGGCGAGGCCACCTGTAATACGGGGTCCATATTCTCGCGAACAGCTGAAACTGCTGCTATGAAATCATTTATCCGGCCATACCAGAAATTTCGAGCCTTCGTGACAAGTTTTGACCAAATCAGTATCTAACAGCCAACGAATCCTCAATGTAAATCGTTGAGGAGTCATTATATAAAAACCAGACTTTTAGAAGGATGAATCTGCAGAATTCAGCATTGTCTCTGTATGATATTACGAAAGTCTATAGGTGGTCGTCAACACTCCTATCGAATAGACTCGACAGCTATTCATAATGGTCAACTCGTTATCACCGGTTCTGCGAAATGTACATATTATACACCGTTGCACTTGCATTTTATACCACGGAGAGATAATCACCAGTTTCCAACGGGTGCCCTCTCCACTGAACACAATATTTTAATATATAGACGAAGGCGGTTACATGGTGTCACAAGTGGGGAAGCGTGCGAGGGATAGCATATTAGGAAGTAGACGCTATGCTGATCACACAGGCGTTGCGATTACCACACTAGCAGGAGACAGCTGTTCCCAAACTACTAATGGAACATATCTGATAAATGACGGAATCGTAAGGATTTCGGAGGCGTGGGTCTCACCCTCCCCAAGCGCCTCTTTGGCTAAAAGGTGTTCAGGTTAATAGAAGTTGTTACGCAGTTTTTGAAACCCGCAACCTAGACTATCCCTGAGGCGGCTCATATTTGCTATGATCCGGACGGTTACTCAACAATAACACGAGCCGTACGTGTGCACGACAGTTGTCCGAACATTCAACACAACAGAGAGGCAAAACACGACTGGCTACGAGAAAACGTACTGGAACCTGCAGCTCATTCTCACTGGGACCGGCGCGTAGTTACAGCGTCCCGTTCGGATTGGCTAGCATTCTATCCACTCCGGGCAACTCGCTGGCATGGACCAATTCGGTTCTAAGGAAGTACTGTGGTCGCAGCCAATAGCGAGACTGTGCCGACTGCCCACTCCTCGCATGGAGCGCGGGACGAGCTCCAACATACCTTTCAGTGAGATTAACCGACTTTTTGGGAATGCAGGCATTCCTAATAATATCTGACTGACAGAGTCAGGGAAACTTCCACTTTAAAGGTTACATTGACCACTTCCGGCCTATTTGCCGTCGCCAGCCAGTCGCACCCCAGTCCCAGGTTCTGGTATCACAGGGCTATAACTTGGACACTTGGCTTACTGCATCAAAGGATTTACCATGCGGCGCTTTTCTCGGGGTAGGACATAGCGTTGGCTGATAGCGGCAGGTTAGCCAGTGATGGCCATTCCAGGATTCTCGTTTTTGTCAGTGACACCTTGATTTCTTCTTAGAGGTCATCATACAGCTGCCTATGCGGGTTCTGTACCGGAGCTTCTAGACCAATCGGAGTGTTCTCCCGACAGCAGCAAATGGAGTCTCACTGGCCTACCTTTTGTCAATCAAAACCCGACTAAATTGGAACCTTTTGCCGACTGTATTTGTCACTCATTAACTACTTGGATCACCTTTCTGCCAAATAATGGACAAAAATGACAACAAAATCTGCCCAGACGCAAAATAACTGCACGTTTGCCGCTTATTCCCGATCAATTTCTTCGAAATCTTGCATGACGTTAAACAAATTGGTTTAAAAATAACACCTTCGCAGATATTTCTAGCATGCATAGGCTCGTATCGGAGCGTAAAGAGATCGTTTCGTTCCACTGACACCCCTTGGAAACTCTAACGAATGAAAAATTTGAGGGCTGGTTTTTTTCTACGATGATCAACTGTTAGCCTGTAGGATGCCTGTACCCTAGTTCCGGGTTTGTAGTTTACAGGAGCATCCTATAACACCCCATTGGTGATTTTATTGACCTACGTACGAACAACCTGACACCGGGAAGCCACCTGCTACTTTTCTGGTAATAAAATCAAGCAGAGATTTCCTAATGCTTCATTTTAGATATTACTTCACGGGAAAATTCACCGCTTTCCAGAAAAGTATATAATGTGCAGGTGGACACTTTTTCAGAAAGTTTTGATTACTTCTTACCCATCGATATGGTGGCTAACATGATCAGTCGAGCGGGTCACGTCTTTGGGCACTATAAATTCGTCAGCTGACAACAGCAAAGTTGTCAAGCATTCCATTCCACGCACACCGACACAATTTTTCTTTACTGATATTCTTATGTAGATTCCGACAAGTACCCGGGATATATCATCTCTGATCTTCCTAGTTGTTGTCTCCAAACTGCAAACAGTTCCTTTTTAATACTAATGAGCACGAACCCAATCGACTTCCTCCTTTGCCTACGGGTCGCCTCCTCTCTTCAGCAGACCATTTCTTCCAACTGCCTTCATGATTTATCTGCTGGGAATCAAATCACAGAGATCTAGACAGCATCTGCCCTTGCCTTTAGCACTTTCTACCTAAACTTCATTGCCTATGAATATAAAAGACGCCTTAGAAAGACGGCAGTAGCTTTAAGAAGGTAGTTTAAGGAGGACCGTTAATCAAGATGACGTTGAGTTAACTGAGATCGTATCCCAGGTCATCTATGGATGGTTTGTCTTCCTCGACCGGATCCTCTGTTCGCATAGTTTCAAGGGCCTCCTCCTCCTTCTCTACCAAGGGCACAAGTAACTCCCTGTTAGTGTGTGCCCTGTGCTGAGCTGTGAGAACAAGTCGTGTTCTGTCCTCTAGCTCCTCCTCCACACAACACTGCAACTGCTGAACATTTGGACTTCGGGTCACCCAGCGCCACACTGCCCATACTGTCATTGCCACCGCGCCTGTCAGAGCCAGACAAATTGTAGAGGTGATCAGGGAGATGAGCCGCATACGCGCAGTGGCAGGTGGTCTGTCACCCAGCTCCCAGAGTGTGAGTGGTTCTGGCGCAACTCGTAGAAAGAAGGAGTTTACCCAGTAGACGGCAGAAATCGTAAAGTTGTCTTCCACTGCTTGGATGGTGGGGGCGTTAGGAAGGGGAATCACGAGGAAACAGTCCCATTGGCCCTGATAAGTGTTGTTGAGTTGCGCGATTCGGCGGATCCGACCGCCCGGCCGAGCCAGGAGGTCGGTAAATTGAATCTCACCGTTCTGCTTCCAGACAAGTCTGGCGGCATCATACCAATGCAGATTACTCACAGAGAGCGCACTATGAACGCCGACACCCGAGTGCAAGTAGAAGGGCATCAGTGCTGGTGAGGAGAAACGTTGGTCAAGGATAATGAGGGTGAAAAATATTGCTGTCCACTGAGCTTGGCCTATTGAAAGGTGACATGTAATCAGCCCAGCGTCCCCAGGTTTCACACTGGGCATGATAAGCTGGGCCTCCCGAACTTCAACCACGCCGTGTTTTAGTTTGCTCAGCCAGGTAGTCTCCTCGTCCAGCAGGTCCTTCTGCCTTTTGCTAATTGGCTCGCTAAATTTTGGGGCACCCTCTGTGATAGGCCGGCCGCCTAAACGCCAGGATACACGTAATTGGCGAGAGGGCAGACCCGCTTGAACAGCGCTTAGGACTCGAGCGTCCGCGAGTTCCTTCGCCAGTCGGTAGGCCGGAGTGTCACAGTCAAAGATAACGCTCTCTCCAACAGCTCGTATCTTGACAACATCCTCGTTGGGGCCTATGCTTCTGAGGCTAATGCGTCTCATTAAGTGGTCCTGTTCCACCTGATGACCAACACGAGCATTAATGTTGTAGTCCTCCAAAACTGGAATGTCTGGACATCCGTAGGCACACTTTCTAACTTGTTGGGGTTCACCTGTACATGTTATGCTATTGTCACCGGGTTCCGGTGGTGGGTTATTGCAAAGGCGCTTACGAACCCTGTTCCCCGGCCTGCATCCGCGCTTGTCTGCCTTCTTGTTGGCTTGATCTCTGATAAGTTGGCATACAGACCACTCGGACCATTCGCTCCAGCCGGGTTTCTGTGGACATCTGGTGGAAATGACACAGGTTGAACACTCGGTCTCCTGACTCTTCTCCGGCCCGGCACACAGACTGGGTTTATGAACCTTTCCAAAGCCATCTAGGCATTTGCGCTCCCTGCAGCGTTGTCCGGTACCACAGGTGACCGAGCAGGAGACAGGCCACTCCGACCAGAGACCCCATGCAACAACCGTATTCTGACTGCCCACTTCGGGGTAGTAGGCGAGGATCTGGAGAACGCAGAACAGTGCCCTCAAAATTGGCATGTAAGCCAACCATTCGTTCAGCGGCTGGACTTGAAAAATCAATACCTTGGTGGGTGCGCACATGATTCGAAAGATCAGCGCTGCGGAGGATGCAATCCGGAGCCTATGATATGCCTTGATCAGGCCCACTCAGATCGACCTTGGGGAGCACCTGGGAATAAATTGTATGGGTGGCGGGATGGAGGAGAGCCTTACTACCGTTTACAAAGTGCACCGGTGTGCTAGCGGAGGGCTTATCGGCCCGCATGTATGGCCTGGTAGGCGAGCCAGAATGATGATTACGGCGGGCGTCTTTCCGTGTTGGAATGGGCCGGCAGTCTACCAAAATTTGCCTAATATGCACTTTTGAGGTGTAGCATGAGGTGCCTGCATTCATTACCTGCCTGTTTTGACGATGCAGGTTTTTATGCTGGGTGACAGCCACAGTCGCAGCCCTGAAGAGTATTACTTCTTCTGTCTGCAAGAACTCGGGAGGGGACAGTACAAATTCTGTTTGAAAGTTACGGACCAACATGAACAATGAAAGCCGGCGCATTTGAACTATTACTGTTACTATCATCTTTGCTCACCTGTCGGTTGCAGCTGTGATTTAAAAGCTTTCTTCTTCGCTTGTGAGCAGGTACTCTCAGGCACTCAGTTACAACATTATCTTCTGAAGAGGCAAGCAGGGCAGGATTTAATGGTACCGAAAAAATTTCGCGACGGGTCGTCCGCTGCGTCCTGTCGCTTCATAACATGGATAACGACAGCTGACGAGCTGTAGCGAAATTTTTTTGGTATCATTACATCCTGCCCTGCTTGCCTATTTCAGCTTCGTACCGGGGACAAAATGCTTCAAACATTATCTTATCAGCAGAGATGGCGAGGCATAAAATTAGGGCATTGAGCAACTTGGCTCAGGATACCAGGGCTAACGTTAAACTGGCCTACGATGATGAGACTGGCAAATTTCATGGTATATTCATGCTCTCATTTCGAACCCACCATCGGAACGGTAGTTACATCCTCTCACAGTAACACACTCAGAAATGTTATAGTTTTCCCTGGGGTTCAGAAGGGCAGATGGGCAAGGATCGGGTGAAGGACCCCAAGCACCTGTGGCATACAAAGAACACATACCATAGTTATTTAAGTGCGTTTTAATCCGACACGATTATTTCGGTTTGGTTTTTCACCATACAAGGTTGCGTCGCCTGTCGTAGGCGGTCCGGTGCATCATCTACAATGCCCTCAGCTCAGACAGTTGAGAAGCGATCGTTGTAGACGGTCTGATGCGTTACCTACATTGAACCCAGCTCAGAGAGTTGAGAAACGATCGTTGTAGACAGACTGGCGGATTATTTACAACGACCTCGGCTCAGAAAGTTGGGAAGTGACCGTGGCAGACACTTAATGTTCGTTTTTTAATTGTCCCGTTTAATTTCGGTTGCTATATTTTAATGCATTAAAACCTTTCCATCCGAAAAACGAATTTATCAATTATCTATACTTTCTTGACATTCCTCTATGCATACAAAGGATCCGCCCGTAAAACCCTTTTTACCACCTCTCCCGTAAGACAGGCACGTTTGGCTGGTCGTTTGTGTTTGGGGTCCTTCACCCGATCGTTGCCGGGCAGATGTACTGGCCCTTTGGATAATCCGTAAGGAATCGCTCACTGCAGACAAGAGTGACCGTTCCAGAACTACCAAATCTATTCTTGAAAGCTTCCTCGGACTCAGAAGTAGGAAAGTCACAGCCGGACTGGAGTGCGACTACCTCCATCCTCCGAAATGAACATCCAGATCGCAATGTTAAGTCGGCAACCCCAACATCATTCCAACTCCCTTGTTGGATGCTTCCGAGAGCAGTACCGGCAGAACCAACAGCAGTAGCCCTAAATTGTTTAAGTATTGAGGCTTGTATGCGTAACCCTACGGCATTATGATTAAACATTGCGCTACGTCAATGACAGTAAATCCTCATCATGTTTCCCCATAAAACTATGCTTTCTTTTCTGCGGCATTTGGGTGTACCCGTTCAATAAGTAGATAAGGGAGACAAGTCCTGGCCAGAGTGCGTTCTGAACCAGGGGGTGTGGTGGTACGTCTAGGTGCGGGTTTACATTGTGTCAGCTACCTGCGTCCTCTCCCGCCTCCAGTCTTCTTGACCATGTTTTGACGTCGGATCCAGGGGGGGGGGGGGAGAGGAGAGAATGTGGCAGATGCTGCGAAAGTCCACTACCACTATAAAATAATTCACGCGCAGGTCACCGTCCGTGCCCACACCCTGCTGTGGAGCACACGGTGGTCATCGTCGGCAACGACGATCGAACTCATATGCTGAATGTATCATTTTCGGGGTCGATGATTAAACGTCAGCTGGGCCACTGCAGTCCGAGGAACTGAATACGGTGAACATGTAATGACCCTCCTCGGGCGCCTGCTGCAACACGCACACACTTGTGCGCACGCACAAACGGTAGTCTGGTTCTCGGCCAATCATAGGTAGCCAAACCGGCCAACCAAATTCAAGGCCGACACAGTCATGCCCCTCTCAGGGCGCTCTGAGGCCTGCCCAGGTAACACTCGGACGCCTGTCCTTGTGGGATCGGATGTGTCCTCTTTCGGTTGTTAGCTTGCCCCAGCGTATTCTGCATGCCTTCTATGTAAAGTACAATGCTGCCTCTACTGCACTCAACTTCTCTCTGCACTCGGGATCTGGACTGAATGTCGTGGTGGCGATGCTCTGTCCATGGATTAAGCTGCCACAAAAGTGCCCTTTCCGGGGTTGACAGCCAGATGCAGACGCCTACCTAAAGGAGGTAAATAACAACCATGTGAACGTGTCTTTCAGGGATTTGTTATATTTCACTCCTACCCTCTGACCTGCTATCTGCGAGTCTAGTCCCCAATGGAGATGTTCTGACATAAACGATAATGAGAAGTAGAAGCGATCGCTGCAACAAGGGCTTTATTCGCCTGACGTTTCGGATTCTCACTTGAACCCATCATCAGAGACCGTGACAGAAATGGGTGATTCGTGCACAGGAAGATGCAGTATTTATAGGATGCAGTCAGGCGAATAAAGCCTTTGTTCCAGCTATCGCTTCTACTTCTCATCAACTAGTTCCTAGAACTTGCATCTTCGTTTGTAGCGGTAAATGATAATGTTCTCACGGATTAACGAAAAATATCTCCAGAGCCCAAAGTATTAAAAACAGCAAATAAAACCAGTTAGTGAATAATACTGACCTTCGAACGCAAAATGGCCTGAGAGCGAAACTGAGGTTATCCAGGTGCGTTGTTTTCATCACGTTAAAACAAGCAATCCGGTAAAAGAGGACGGGACTAGATTGTCAAGAATAATTTAGTCTGATACCTCGTCACAGTTTCTTGCGTCACACCTCGGCGTGGACCACGCACTTCTGTGGCAGCAATGTTTGCACTGACCCTCAGTTGGTCTGACTAGACATTTTCACGAGTTTATACAGGAAATGAGACTAATTCTGCCACACAGACTTGCTCTACTGCAAATTATACGCGCAATTTTTACGATTACAGTGCCCTACACGTAGTTTGAAATGTTGCTAACTGGCTGTGCAAACCAGCCATGGACGCCGCGGTTTATCCTTTCCAGCATGCCCCTAAAGCAGTTTTCGGTCATACGCGCTCAGTGTGGGTGGTGCCCGGTTCATGGACGTGGAAGACCAGCACGTGAGTGGCACGCGTAGACACCCAAGCGAAGCTTCAGTCGCCTTGACCCCATGCTTCTACTGGAACATAATTGGCGCGGGAAGAGAGAGAGTCTGGTAGCTGTCGCGGAAGTCGCTCTCACCCTAGTCAAAGCCCATGAACCTCATCGATGTTTTTTTCAGGCAGCGAGGGCCAACATCAGGTACAATGAATTAACCCTGCAGGCCAAGGCTTCATACAGTTTACACACTAAGACGACCGATGTTTGCGGCACACTACTTGCACACGGAAAGACAGTCAAAATGACAGGAGACAAGCGCTGTATGCGGTTCGCCCATACCGAGAACTGATCGTAAGTCCAACGCGAAGCTTATAATATTTAGCCCAATCTTTCGTCTAACAGATGGCTAGTGTGCTTAAACTCGACGGCAGTAAATGGAACATGGTTTTGCAATGACCTTGGTAGACGATGGTAGACGAGAATTAGGGTCTTCGAGCTCTGAATGGAGTCACTGTAGATTGATGAGAAGAGAGACGAAGGGCGTCCTTATTTTAAGAATCTCTCTAAGATCATAACCGCCTTTTTACACCTCTTACCGCTGTGTCCCCAGCGCTGTCTTTGCGGGTATATACAGTGCAGTCAGGTCAGAATTTTGGACTACCCTAACAGAAATAACGGTTAGGGGCAAGTCAACTGGAATTCCCTCCAACCGTCATGTATCAGCCAATCCATGAACTTACTGGAAGAACGTGGCTCGAATTCTTTCGCCGTTAACGTTAACCAATGCTCATATTAAAGGTGGCCGTGCCGCCCGAGCCCTGCTGGCCCGCAATTGGTCCTGGTTTTGTTCGTATAACTGCGGTGGCAAACATGATAGAAGTAGACATTTGCAACTCAGCTCCCCCCGAACCAAGCTCGGGACGAGGTCAAAGATGGAGGCCTAAATTTAATTTTGCGCAAAAACCCTATCAATTGCTCTCCTGAACAACTTCAGGTGTTATTCGGGTTCAGGAGGTCATTAAATACGTCTGCCACATTCCAGTGGTATGCCCTTCAATTTCAGAATCACGTACTTCCCCTCCATACCCTCCTTTCTATCTCCGTAAATTCGGCAACGATAAAGGCTGCTAGAAAACTTGTCTCGGAGTCTGCTGTAACATCGCTCCTCTGTCTGACGCATGCATATGACAGTTCGACCATCGGTTTCGATGATGTCCACCGTGTGTCCCACTGTTGCAGCAGCAATGGGAGCAGGGACGGTGACTTACGCAGGGGTTTATAGTGCCGGTAGACTTGCGTAGCATCTACCTACACTCTCTCCTCCT